ATTCTTTTTTATTATTATTGTCATCCTTATACTTTAAATTCGACTACTCCTGGTGCTGTCTCTATTGTTAAACTGGGCATGGGCTTGTGTATTTCTCTTTCCATGCTTCTCCAGATCGAGATTCTGTGGTTATCAGGTAGGAGCTCATGACCTCCTCTCCAACTCACCCGTATCACCCCGTACCCTGCAGGCCTTCCCCGAAGGCCCTCCCACAGCTCTCCACCTTCACCAGGGGCTCTCAGCTAGGCACTGGCGGGCTACTGTTGGTGGATACGGTATCTATGGATGGCAGGCCCTGGAAAACATGTCTGAATGAGACAGATTGGGAGAGGATGATGCGAGAGAGAAAAAAAAAGAAAGGAACGAGAATGACAAAGATTTAGGATATACCGGTAAGTAAAACAGAGAGGGAGAGAAAAGAGAGGGAAAAATCACAGGCAGGAGAGAGAAAAGAGGGAGGCTCATTCAGGGGAAGATAAACTTCTCCCTTTTTTCCCTCTTGTTTTTGACGGGCCAGTTGATGTTTTTTCTTTCCCTTCCCTTCCTTTTTTGACACAGGCAGTCGAGACTGGATCACCCGAGTGAAACCACCTGGTGTGTCGCCCTCCCTTTCTACCCCCTTTTCCTCCCATATATGCACTCAGTGACCATCTCTGTCCCTGGCTGCACGCCAGGTCACCTTGGCAACACCACCCCATTAGAATGTGAGAGGAAATATTTTGCCCGTTTTTATTATCTCTTTATTTGCTGCTGACGCTGTGCTTTTTAATAATGTCTGCGTGTGTGTTTGTGTGTGTGCATGCATGTGTGTATTTTTCTAAACTCTCCTTGGATCCCTTTTTCGAGGCAGGAGCATTAACATACCGCGTATTCTCCTTCTAAGCACAGCGCGGGAGAGCAGAGAGAATGTGCAGCTTGCTTTAAGTGGAACTGTAAGAGTCACACAACATGCAGCTGGTCTTTATTACTTCCCCTTTGGTTCATTGAAGCATAATTACATTGTGACTTCATCCCAACCTTAACATGACCTCTGCTCTCCTGTCAGACACACTGGCAGCCCCTTGCACTCACACACACACACACACACACACACACACACACACACACACACACGCATGCCCTTTGCTGCAGCACATGCAAATGTGGATATCACATATGCACATTTTGCATGCATGTATGCATACATGCACACAGATACAGGCACGTTCACTCACACACACGTACAGACACGCACAAACACAAAATCCCACCTACAAACAGACAGACACAGACATTTAGCCTCAGTCTGAGCTGAGATCATACTGGACCAATATAATAGTGTAAGTGAGCCCAAACACAAATTGGGCTCCTGCTGGAAAACTCTGCTCCATGCGAGTTCTCATTTGTGTGTGTGTGTGTGTGTGTGTGTGTGTGTGTGTGTGTGTGTGTGTGTGTGTGTGTTTGAGGCTTTCCGGATGGAAATGAACTCCACCGACCCTGTCCCTCCCTCCCTTATGGTTTTCCTGTCCTCTGCTGTTCTAATTGGAAACCTTTGCTAATCAGTCACAAATTATGACTTTTTACTGTCACCTTTCCATCCTCCTCCTCTTCCTCCCATAGCCTCTCCTCAGCTCCTTCTTAAAGGTGTGTCTACTTTTTCTTTTTCTCACTTTTGGAGTGGTGATGTTATGGGTTTTCCAGTCAGTAGTTTTTCTTCTTTTGTAATTATCAAACAGGGTTTCCCCACATCTCAGCAGCTGAACCATGTCCTTTAGTAGGCCAACACTGAACAGACCCTCACCTGCAACCTGGTGAAGGTGGGAACGTCAGACTGAGGTTACGAAAGGTTGAGCAGAGTGTCTGTTTTTGTTATCTTAAAATAACATGGTGGACGGCTAGGTAAAGTAGGTGTTGGGTTCTCTTGTGCTCCAAAGCAGTTGGGCAGGGGACTAAGGGTATATCAGGGTTGTTTATGGGGTGATGCTGGACTGGGTGGGCTTGTTAAACATCATTAGGGCCGCCTGACGTCACTGGCCTAATGTTTGGGAAACACAAAATGTCCCTGTGATGTGCCGATGCCATGCTACTCAACTCACAGCAAATATTTACCAGCACAAAAGCCACACTGCTGGCAAGACCAAGACAATATAGAGCCAAGTAATCTGCTTGATTACTCTTGGTTTATTCCATGACAGCCATTACAAAGATGTTCCTTCCTTCATCATATAGTTTGAGTAAAAACAGCCATGAGACTTCTATACTATACTGTACATAGAGTGAGACACACAGTATGTGTTCTGATAGGAGCCTTGCAACGAAATCCTTGTTTACATCCATCAATGTCATGTGATTAGTGGACTCACTGGCACCAAAAAAGGAGCCATGGAGTCATAAGCTGACATCATGTGGCATCCCTCTTTGCCAAGTCTTTGTAAAATCATATCATTCAGTGTTATAAGATTATTATCATGCATGACAGAGACGTTGGGGTGCCCTGCCACTATATTGTGTTCCAAAGTATCCATCAGGGTTTCCCTCAATTTAGAAATGAGATCATTTTCATATGGCAACATGATTCTAACTTTAAACCAGGTTTGGTCCACTGTTTCCCACTCCACCCTTTAACCACACCAGGAATATCACTCACTCGCCCTGTCTGAGAACACTTACTATGTGTGAGTGCGTGCGTGAGTGTGCATGTGTTTGTGTGATTACACATTATGGTATAAAAGAGTGAGTGTGTAGAAGTAAAATAGTGTGAGACTATCACATTCTCCAAATAAAACAGTGCTCAGATTGTGAGATGGAAAAGCCTCGGTGAGATGATGTCAGATCTTTACACAGGAGTCAGCTGTAAGGTCACAGCTTCAGTCATGAAATAGAGCTCAACACACTTACTGCTCAAAACCATTTTAGCGACTCTTCCCTCTTTGTATATCAATCACCACATTAGAAACAGCCGAGCATTGACTATATATAAAATTTCACATCATTTTCATCACCTACCATGAGGTCTGTAACGGGATTAAGAGGATTCGTATTCATGAAGTTCACTGCGCGCCTTCTCTGCCAGATGTGTGAAGATAGTTCTCACTGTGTCAGTGTCTACCGCACGCATGTCCAAATTTAGCCCTTCTGCTACGGTTGGCTGATCATTTTTGATGGTGCTTTAGTCCTGATGTTACTATCAGAGTGAAGTAGAGTTACCTTGGGCTGATGCATCTGTAACCAACGTGTTTGCCGTCTCCTACTTCCTCTTCCCCTTGTTTTTTTTCTGCAGGAGCTATGAAGATATGTGGCAAGATGTTTCTAGTGTCAGCATAGATTGTGTATTGTGAATAAGCTGAACAAGAGCTCACTAATCCTTTGCTTCACACATCATCTACAGTGATGACATTTCCAGTGCCACACTGCACTCACCTTAACCATTGCTCTCTATCACAAAGTGAAGGAAAACATTTAAACACGATTACTTCAATTCATAGCTCAGTAATTGTCTTTTTTTCAGTGGCTGGACAAATTTAAATGTTGTGATTCAGTGGAATTTCCAAAACCACTGTTCCCATTGCTGCTCTCTTTCATAGGGCACAGTTCGGGTGGTTTCCACTCCATTTCAATTTGCCGCAGAAAACGCCAACTTCCACTCAAGACAGCCTCAATCAAGGGGTCTGCGTGCAGGTAAACAAAATGCCACGAGTGGCAACAGCAATGTAAACAATACTGACTAATAAACACATATTTCATATGACTCGTTGTGGTGGAATCCAGATGGAAAAGGTACTGTAAAGTACAGCCAACACTTAAAATCTGTCATCCTCACCACCATCATCATCATCATCATCATTACTAATGTTTATTCATCATACTGTGTGTCACATACTGTAGTATACTGTACATAATTCTACACACTTCTATTTTATTTTATATATTTTTATTTGTATTCCATTTTTAATGCCTTGTAATGTGAGTAAATGTAACGAAAAAAATTTCCTCTTGGAGATCAAAAAAGTATTTCTGATTTCTGATTCTGGTAATGTACAATGCATCCACCTAGTGTTGTTTTGGTGCTACAGCACTTAACGTAATCCAGACTATAAATCAAATCATACCAAGTGTCATTTTCATCTTAACAGAGACAACTATAAATCTGGAAGAATTATTTCGGTATTTTTAAATTTGTGCCCTATTTTCTTATATTTTGGGGTCGAAATGATTAGCAGGTAGGTTGTGTTGGAGTAATGTTAGGAAATGCAGTCTTGTTAGCAGTTCTTCTATGTACACAACAAACTGCTCTCTCCAACTGTGACGTTGGACAAAAAATCGCCGCTCACAACATTTCAGAGTGAGATTTGTCCTTGAGTGAAGCTTCTGTTTCTTGTTAAAAAACAAGGGGTGTTACCGGGTGTTACTCAGAGGGATCCTTTCCATGATGTTGGTATACATTGCAGCCACAGCAGCCAGTTTGCAGCTCCCAGCTGAAGCAATCTACTGCACGGATTCCAAAACTTTTTGTACCTACCACTCATTTTGACCCCAAAATGCGTGAAAATAGTCCCTACGTTAAAAAATACTGAAATAACCTTTTAAGACGTCTACTTCTGTGTGTGTTTTTGTATTTACATGCGTGTAAATCTGTGCATGCACTCAAAAAGGATTGGTGCTCCAATATGACTTGGTATGTGTGAGTGTGTGGTCAAATGTATATGTGACCTTAGCAAAGTGAAGCCTGCTAGTTTGAAAGGGATGACATCATCCTATGTGAGAACATGATCTAAACTATACTGTCTCAGATATTTCCCTTGCTGCAGTAGTCACCACAACTAAATTACGTGCTGGCATATGTTCAGCAACATGAGTCCACAGTACGTTGCATGAGCCATAACAAGCTCTGTGTCTGAAGTTGTGCACACATATAGGACAATGTGCTTATTTTCAATTTTCAATTAATTTGATTTAATGTACTCTCTCTTGGAGTTTGAGAGATATTTTGATTACACAAATAGACTCCTTTATTTAATTTTTAGCATTTGAAAACATAAACATCTTTTCTTAATTTTTCTGTTCTCCACATCCATTTTCTCAAAATTAAGTCTGCAGGTCCAGGGGCCTTGAAGGGAGCTGAGGTTCAATCCAAATGAATGGAGGCATTATGTAAGTGCTTACAACATCGAGGAATTATGTAAATGGATCCGTTGCCACGCAACAATGCTCCTCCTGTCAAAACATAAACAACATTGTACAAATGGCCAAATGTTCACAATGGTGAAATATGATGAAATCCACCCTAGGGGTTTTATACATGATTCTATGTACACACATATGGGAAGATTGCGCTAGTTTACAAAAGACTCCTCTTTGCAAATTTATGAATCATAGTCCACTCCCATGAACGCTGGACTTCAATGAAATTAACTGTTTGGCTGGCACCCATAGACTTCCATGGAACACGTTAAGAATTATGTGTTATGACGATTAAAGGGCTGAAGTAGTTCTTAAGTGTTTGAAAAGGGGGCTTGATATAGGATTTTGAGTAGCTGGTCTACTTAGCTCATCTCTAATGCTGTAGGTGACGCGGGAGGTCCAGCTGTGAGCCATCATCGAACACAGTGCTGTCCCACCTCATGTACACCCTTTATGCGTCACTAGCTGTTTGAACTTCCCTGGCTGTTTTTATTTGGTTATGCATCTAAATCATCAGGGGTCAAGTAAACAGCTCTGGTGGAGGTAAACAGCCTGAGGGATAGGCTTTCCTCTGGGGCCTTTAGCAGCTGAACTTTACACACACACTCACACACACACACACACACACACATGCACACACATGCACACACGTGTACACGTACACCCTCGAATCTGGGTGAAGATCAAACTGCTGACGCCTATTTTGCACTTATCTTTGCTGGTTTAGCTCCGGGCTTTTCTCAGTACTGAAAGATCCCGTGTTGCCATACGAGCACCAATGGCTGCAGTCGGTGAGATGATGTTTTCGAGGATTCGCGATGAACTCTGCTTCTCATAGCACACTCATAGAAACACACACACAACCACCTCCTCACCAGCTCAGGGTAAGCAAAAGAGAAAGAGGGGCAGAGAGTGAGAGAGAGGATCAAAGCCAGTGAGTGGGATGGATTCTCTGAAATGAATAGTGCTGGGGGATATTGCTTTAACCTTTGTCCAAAGCGCTGTGCTTAGGGACCTCCCTGTTTGTTTTAACAGCTCTGAGTTAGCAAGGGTCTCTCTAGCCGCAGAAGGTATCTAGGCTAAGAAGACATATTCACTACATTTAAGTAGGTGTTTCATGTCACGAGAAGTTGTTCATCTACATACTGTCCTGTCTGCTTCTTCCACTATGGATAACATAAGATCCAAAAACTGACGAGGCAATTTTGTAGTCAGCATGATATTTTTGGCATTCGGTCAACATCAAGGGGTTTGATCATTCGCTGAGGCAGATGTACAGTAGTGTTTTATTTCAGGGGTAGATCAAAAGTCTCTTCATGCTGTGTGTAACCACAACTAGGATTATATTAGGATTTATTTGTTCTGGGCCTATCTGCTTCACAGGGAGGCCAGGCCATCAACAACTCTTCTCCACCACTCCCTGTTTTGATCAAAATCTCACAAGACTGTAGATGAATCTGGATGCACATCAAACTGCTTGTGTCTATTATGCACTTATCACTGTGGGTGCAGCTCCACTCTCGTTTTGGCGCTGAAAGGTCCCACGGTGTCATATTGGAGCAGACTGCTGGATGATGTTGGGGAGTTATGGCAGGACCCCTCCTCTTCTTTCATCACCGTCTGTGTCATCGCCCTCTCCTCCCATCCGTAAAGGAACCAGTAGAAGGATGGTTTAAAGGCACACACACGTTATGGACCATGGGGAGAAAAGTGCCTGTTGTCATCTGGTGGACCAGAGGCAATGAGACTGTGTGTGTGGTACAAGCATTTTGAGTATTTGCATGCTTTGAATGACTCACTGAGTGAGAGTTTGCAGTATTTCAGCTGTCTTTGACTACTTCAATACATTTAGCCTTGAAGGATCATCTACTTGCATGCTATGCTAATCATCATAAAACATGAACGTCTTTATTAAATATTTCCCCACATGTGCGGCTTCCAGTGAAGTTCTGTGAGTAAATCATAAACTTTTTTTGAAAATAAAATTCATGTCTCATGTCACACGCAGCAGCAGACCTGTTATGGGTAAAATAATTGAGGCGGGGAACGGCATGGTGTGTACAAAGGAGAGTTGGGGGTCTGAGGATGCTAGTTAGAGTGGGTGGTTAGAATAACAATCTGTACACACAGCAAACACTCTCTCCTTGTGGCTGACTAAATTGACTTGTCTGTCCCACTTGAAATGCTATGGGACATATTGAAGCCCTTAGTTCTCTCTCTGTCTTACGAATAATCAGGCATTTCCCTGCCCTCTCTTCTGGGCCTCTCACCACCCTTCCATCTCTCCCTCCATCACTGCCCTTGCTCGCACACAGCTGCACTGCAGCACGCAGGGTGCGCAGAGACAGGGCAGAGAGGGAAAGGAGGAGAGAAGGACATAAAACGATAGATGCGTAGATACACATGTAGCAGGAAGAGAGAAAGAGATATCAGGGTAAAACATTAAGGAGTGATGGATAAGGGGATCTATGACAAACAGATGGGAGTCTGCTATTTGACAAGGCACGCTCTTTGATTTAATGATTAGTAATTAAATTAAATATGCATTGATATGGAGGGTTTACTGTTCATATGCAGAGTCTCACACTTCCTCCCTCTTATCTCTGTACCTCAGAGGATGCTTCTCATTCCTGTGGTCATGGCTTTGGTGACTTTGGTTTCTAAATGCTACACAGTTCATTGTCTTGCCCCTGGATTTACATGTCAAATCAACTTCATTCAGCTTTTAGCTTCCCATAACATCTCTATCTATTATCTTCTCAAACAGATTTAACCTAACACAGCCATATGAAGAGACTTGGACCGGTTTTATAAGGGACGTTTACCATCAACCAAGACCTGGTGCTGAAACATAATTAAATGGAGGGCGGGTCGTTGGTGTGCATTGGTCGCAGAGGTTAGAAAGGGTGTATGGTAAGGGGCCTGGGTAATAATTCACAGAGGTCTCACACTCCTCTGAAAACAGCACAACAAGCCCCACATCAAGGGAGCTTTGAGAAGGAAATGAGCAAAGAAAGAAAAGCACACAGCAGGAGCCGGAGGAGCAACATTTCCAAATTATTAATATTGTTTTTCAAAGTAATCCAAACACTCTCAGGGGATTAGGGAAAGGGGGCAGGGAAAGAGAAGGAAGCAGGTAGATTATCTGTCCCCGTGCAATTTTTTGGTTCAACTGAACTGTCAACATGTGAGAGAAGGAGAGAAAAACTCAGTAGTGGCCTTGGTTATATAAAGACTGAAAGCTGAATGAAACACTATCTTTATGGCAGGGTTACAGCAAGAACTGGAACTGGTGCTTTGGCTGTAGCTAAAAAAACATCCTCAGCTCTGAGCTTGTCGTTTTCATTCAGACTCTTGTTTTCTTTCAGCTAAAAGCAAGCTCCCCTGCCCAGAGAGCTGGCTAGCGCTGGACACACAGTCACACAATGTGTTCCTGACTCTCCCACTGCCAAGCTCTCTGCTCGAGCTTCAAACAGCCAGAACCAGACACATGCCGCCACGGTACTGTACTAATGGTCACAACATTAGCCGATGAGGAAGAGGCAAGGCTCAAATGCAATGCAAATAATGTAACGCAGAAGGAGAGGCTGATGTGGTTGTAAATAGCAGTCTGGAGCTGTTTCAACAATAACAGCCTTCTGGAATCACAGGGATATTAACAAACCCCCTAGATTTCCCTCATTGAGGAGATGTTTTTCTCCCCAGTCCGTTGGGAAACAGTGTTGTAGTGATGGGATAAGTTGTCACATTAAGGCAGTTGTGTACAGCGTGGAGGTCCATCTTGCTTCAATTAAAAACTCCAACGCGTCTGGTTTTGATTAGGGGTCCTGGCAAAACCAAGGTGATTCCTTTCCTAATGAAAACCACCAGAGAGGCTGAGCAGTGCTAAAAACCGGTTAACAAAGAATAATAGCTGAGCGAGGAAGGTATCTCGCTATCATCCTCCTTCCCCTGCCATTTCCTTCCTTCTGGCCTATAGAGTCCACATGCCAGATGGACAGACCTAACCTTGGAGGGTTGCACAGGGTGAAGGGGTAGGGGGTAAATGGTTTATGAAATCAATCCCTCTCCTCTAACACTTGTTTATCCATTTTATTCCTTCCTTTCTCACTCCCTGCTTGCGTTTCCCATTCCTTTGCTCTGTGCAACATGTCTTCACACCTAAACAACAAAATAGGTTGATTGTCAAAGACTCTCAAACAAATTAAATGACCATTGGGAGGTACCGGTCCAGTGACAGGTACCAGACCTGAAGTTAACACGTGGTTAACGTTGTGAAACTGTTGCATTTGGGTTAGGTTTAGGCAACAATACTTAGTTGTGTTAAGAAAAGGATTGTGGCTTTGATTGAAATAAGTACATTACGTAGTTCACGTAAATCACATGACAAAAGTAATTCTATTTAACTTAAAACTCTAAATAAGTCAACATTAACCTGGTTTCCCACAGGACTCAAACTCCGGTCTCCTGTGATAAAGCCCTGAGCTTGTTTGATCCATCCACCTCCTTGCACTGTCTTTCTCACTCTTTACACTATGTTACTCTCCTTTCTCCTTTGCTACCGTCATGCGGCCACTAAAGGTTGCCGCCGAACAATAAACGTAAATATGGGTTGTAATAAGTTGCTTGAACTATCAACTTATGAAGCTGTTTTTCTGGTGAGGATGAGCAGCTCTGTGAGTATTTCTGTGAATCTGGCGTGTCTCAGCAGAAGCAGTTTCTGCTCCGAGGGGCTGAAGGTTTCAAAGTGGAGGCCTGTTTGCTTTTATTTGACGTTGAACCATCGCTTCCCCCTCTGGCCGCACAGTCACCAGTCACCTCATCCCTCATCTTGAGACCAATGGTATTTGTTATTTACAAGCGCACTACATCTTATCTTGCGACCTTGTCACTCCGTAAGTTCAAATTCCAGATAGATTGTAACCACAGATGCTGACTTAAAACAATTAGGTTTGTTGCTCGCGGTGAGCGTGACAGAGCTCTTTAGCCTGGAGTGCCTAGAGCGGGGAGAGAAGAGCTGGGTGACTGACAGACAGTGACAGCATAATGTATGCCTCTCTACTGTCATCTACGTCACAGAATACTCCAGTAGCCGCAAGTGTGCCTCTTATACTGGGACTTGGCCTGTGTGAAGCTCATGGAAATACGTTGGTCACCAAGAGTGCAGGGATGCATAAAGTGAGTGGCGCCAAATGCAGAGAGAAAAGTTGGATAGGAAAGACACACACCACGCGGTGTCCTCATAACATTGGGCGTTTCTGAGAATGTGGTCTGACCTAATGAGTGATCCAGCTGGTGACGCAGTGATTACCTCCTTTCATCTTTTCATCTCTTTTATTCTCTTATCTTTGATTGTCTCTCATTCCTTCATCTCTGTGATCAGGTCCTCAATGGGGCGGTGGATCTGTGTCTCATCCCCCACCGCCTCAAAGGAGAGGAAGCCTGGAGTAGACAGGCCAACGAAATATAACGATGACAAATACATAGACAGACTCATCTGATAGTCTTAAATAGTATTTCCTGAAGATGTGCGTTATGTTTTGTGTAAAAGATGAACGTGGAAAGATCTATCTTACAGTAAAAACATACTGTACATTTTAATAGCAACCAATGATAACATTTCAAGATGTGAATAGATACAGTTATTGACATGCACTTTAAATGCCTGTTGAACTAGGAAGACATATTTATTTATTTATTATCATTTTATCACGATGGGTAAATGATCATAGATTATTGTTGCTTCTGTTTATTGATGTGTTTTTGTGTGTTGTTTTGATAAATATTGTGTGCTGCACCCCAAATTGCCTCTTTGAGGACATTAAAATGTTCTTTAAAGTCTAAGTCTAATGTCACATTCAGATATCCTTGCTAAGACAACAAAGAATGATGAAGAATAAAGCAATGACTCTTATTTCTTAAAAAAGATCCTACAAATGCAATAGATTCCTGTGTCAGATGCACATTATTATGTGTTTTATCTCTTACATTTGTGGTTTTTGTTGTAGTGGCCTTTACCCTGTACTCAAATTAAGCAATATTCTTTATGTAAACTTTGAATCAAACTTAAAAAAAAATGTTAATAGCTCAGTTAATAGTTAGTGTGTCAAACACACTAAAAATTAAAAATCTTTATAAATATGACTTAATTCTCTTTTAGCTCATTAATTTGGTTCTCCAGACTGCTGTTTGATTGAGTCTTACCGCTCTCATTGTGGGCAGCAATCAAGGAGTCGACGCTAACTAGTGTCTGGTGAGGAAAGTTTTGCAGCTAGCAAGCTTAAGACTTGAAACCAAACTAAAGCTTATAGGTGAATGCTTATTGTACATTCATCAGGTGGCTAGAATCACGACACCACTGGGTCTGCTGGATCTGTAAAGTAGGCAGCTGTTAGCTAATAAGTCAGCCTAACAACATGATACGCTTTGTTTTGGAGTAAGTATTGTCTGCTTTCTTGTGGTCAGAAATGACACTGGACAGTTTTAACTAAAAAGTAATACTTTAAATCTGCCCCTAAATCCCCGTCTGACACACATGATCTAAAACTCTACTCCTGAGACAAAATAGAGGGAGCTGTCAGAAACATAAACATACTTATGAAGGCTTGTAAAAATCCTCTGAATAATTAGGCCGAGGCCAATGGAGGTTGTTTTTGAATCAAGTGAAATATGTCTGCTGACATTTTACTTCAACCCGGGTGTCATAAACCTTTCTGTCTACTGCCAAAACCATACAGCAATTTCAAACCATTAGATGTTTGTCAAAAGTACACCATAAATAAAATTTTCTTTCACTCTGTCAGTAAATAAAATAAGTTTTATTTCACAGAATGTGTGATAAGTGGCTTCCCTTTCGTGGTAGGACTAGGTCAATCCATCTATTTCCTATAACTATTTATTCCTATTCTCAATCACAGCCATGCTGGAGCCTATCTCAGCATGTATTAGGAAAAATCCATTTCACTGTGGCAGACTGTACCATTGCAGGTCTAACTCAATTT